TAGTATATACATCAACAAAAGACAACCACTGAATTACAGGTTTCTTGCTTGTGATAGAGACATACATAATGTTGCAGGGTTAAACACTTTTATATTTGCTTCCAACCATCCCCTTCACCTGTGACAGTTGTGCAACAGCACGACATAAAAACAGACTGTAAAAATCAGTTGAAAAGGGCTTGACTCATCAGATCGATACAAAAGAACAAAAACAACCTACAAAAACACAAAAAGACACAAAGTACCGATCTGAAAGTATATACAAGAAACACATTTGTCCACATGTATCAGATCAAAATCGCAATATTTATGTCCATTTTTCTGTTGCAGCCTACCTAAGATCTGCGGGTATTGGTTCTGCAGCATCCGGTAAAAATTCAGCGGTAATCTTTCCAGCCATTAACCAAACTGTTACTACGACAAGACCTGCTACAGTAGGGACACATCACAATTATATGGAAAACAAATTGAGTGTTGGGTCAAGTGCACCCGGGAAAAACCCTGTAAACTTTATTGGTAAAAAATATAATATTCATTGACTTATATTTTAACAACTCGAAAATTTATTTAAATTATTATCATTCGAGTTCCAGAAAAATGCTATACTACAATATTAATTGAAATGTTAAAACATTTTTTTTTCTAGATTTTTTTTTCTGAATTGGATACTGTCCTCCTCACTTCTTCTTCATATACTTACTCTTTCCTTTTTCATTTTAGACATTGCAATCCATTTTCAAATTTGTACATTTTGAAATGATTGAGAGTATATAACCTTAGGTTATGTAGGCTTATGATTTATTTTTTTCCCCTTCATTAGCGAGTTATTTTGGAGGCGGATGATAAATTAGAAATGATTTATTTTAGGAGTAAACTAGCTAGAAATGATATAGTATAGAGAAAAGGTGACTGTACATTTTTTACATGAATTTCAGAGTTTGGTAATGGCAAAAATAGACCTGACTCTAAAGGTATGTTTTGAATGTTCAGCTAGATTTATAAAACTTTCAGCAAATTGTCTTTTCAAGCAACTGATAAACAAATGCTGCGGGTATAGGTTTAACTGTTTCTTATTAAGGACACTTGCAAAGTCATCTGAAAGACCTATGTGAGTGTATGTTGATTGTTGTTTTCGTAACGTTCACTACAAAAAACTTCTTGTATACACATGAACAATAAAAAATAAAGTATACATTCAATAAGAAAGTTCTGGTTGGTGGGTCAACCGGGATTGAAACTTTGAAGGGCGAGTAACTTAAACTGCCACTGGGGAACACAATTACAATTTATAACTGTTTTTATTCTGACAACTTAACTGAAGGGTACGTGGCTAGTATGATATTAAAAATAGCTATCGTCAATCTATCAAACAAACAATCCGACAAGGTGTCATGTTTATTCCAAATAATGTACTTATTTCTTTTGATATTACCTTTGGTATTAAATTTCAAATACTGCTTCAAAAGTTATGAAATATTTATGAAACCGAACTATATTGCTTTTGATGATCTTATAAACTAACTGTTATATCTTTGGTATCAATAAAATTGCTATTGTACTCAAGGGTGACTAGGATATAGGAATATGGTTGTATAGAAATTATAGCTACCCGGACTTCACCGGTCCAACATTAAGACTCTTGCTAATGAGGCTTGCTTTTGGTTGTGCGGGATGAAGGTTCACACGAAGCCAATGGGCATGTTCGGCGAAATTTGGAAGATTAATATCCATGTTGTTAGAGTTCAACTATGAAAGAACGTTCAAGCACTTTTGCAACAATTGTTTGAGGGGACTGTTGCTGGCTTGTTACCTACTACGTTAGGTATTATATTCTTTAAGTAAAAAAAAAGGTTAATTTCCAAAATTTGCATAACCTCATGTCTTTCATCAGATACTTACTAGCGTACATAAGTTTGAATGTCTCTATCACTTGACTGGAATATATTTGATTGATTATTGATTGCTAAACGTCCAATGGCGATTATGTCATGCATGTTTAGGACGAGAACTAATTACCAATAGATACAAAAGGTAAGTCTTGCAATAGGGGTTTGCCCGGGATGAATGATAAGTTGGAAATTTGGAAAGCCCCCAAAAATGTAGCGAATTGTAATAAGACAAGGAATTAAGTCTTATATAAGCCACCTACGAACCCCTAAAAGTATTTTTGCAATGGTTCTTAACGTGAAGAGAGCGTGGCACTCTCTCTACAAGATGCATCAAATTCAACTTTCCCATTCTGATTGGACGTGGCTGCAAATTTTTAGAATATTCAAACGAAAAAAACCAACGGCTTGATATATGTAAAAATGGGATATATAAAGGCAACAGTAGTATACCGCTGTTCGAAACTCATAAATCGATAGAGATAAAAACAAATCCGGGTTACAAACTAAAACTGAGGGAAACGCATCAAGTATAAGAGAACAACGACACAACAAAAAACACAATATTAAAAATGTAACACACACAGAAACGAACTATAATATAACAATGGCCATTTTCCTGATTGGCAAAGAAGATGCAAAATACTATTGAAATAATGGGATATTGTTGGTTTTGAATTTGATACCTAATACGCGTTGCTATGTTTTCATTCACATAAAGTCTCCAGTCATTACCAACATATTCCATTAATTAATTCTGCGTTCTATTTCTTTTTAAATACATACATTACGTTTATTCAGATCAGGAATTACCATACTCTGTTTAGTATTTAATTGTATTTTTTATCTCTTAATTGAATTAAATGTTAAGTCAAAATAACAAATACTTCTCCTAAGCTAGTTGATTAAATCTTTGCGTTTTTTTTTTCTTTTATGCTAGAAGGCGATTGTAGATATCTTTACAATGAGAATTTTACTTCAACGAATTTCGTCACATTCAACACAGGTCTTGGAACATCAGTGAGCTTTTATGAACAACGGAAGAACCTTATCATCGAAGCTTTACTTCAGTCTGAAGCAGATGTTTTATGCCTAAATGAAGTACGTTAAAACGCTTTTTAATTATTTGCTGTCTTCTATAGATTTGTCGATGACATTTTCGATGAACGCAAAAAAAATAAAATAAAAGATAATTTCTACATAAATAGAGAAAAGAGAGGTGAAAAATTTGATAGGGATAGTCGAAAACAAACTGACAATGTCATGGCAAAAACCGAAAAACGATAAAAAGGCAAACAACAGTACACAGAATACATCATAGAAAACTAGCGACATGCTTTCGTAGTCATAGAACTTGAGATACCAAAATAGCTAGTCGTCTAATGTTTAATTTTACCGATAGTGTCCTATAACCGATTGAGTAATTATCTAATTAATGTGGCTTCGCATGGCGGGCGATGCATGTATAGCTAGAGACATTTACACTGTCGACAAACCAGGTTTCGCACCTTTTTGAGTGTATGTGATTCCCTCGGTTTTGATTTGTTTGTTTCTTTGATTTGTCTTCCTAATTGATGTACCAGTTTGAACTTTGTTAACCTTATGTTGCTCATATCTACAACAAAAAGGATGATGCATGGAATGAATTGAGTTGTGTTTGCTTAACGTCTAATTGCAATTATTCAAGCATATTCATGACTTATGCACAATATCCGCTGTCAGCTTCTAACATTATTTCTTATAAACATACAATTAGACATTTACTAATTCAGGTATGGTATGTAGAAGATTTGATTCAGCTCCAGAAAGCCTTACAGGGCAAGTTTCCTCACTCTTTCAGTAAAATTCACGATGACACCGCCATCATTATGGACAAACAAACATTAGCAAAGCCTCCATGTGATTCTATAATTTTTCCAGCAAGTTTGAAGTGTTTTATGACGTTTTGTAACACATCGAGAAATTTGATAGAACTAGCCGAGTGCTTCTTGGTTACCTGCAACGCAGCTCGTTTACTTTCTGAGGAATGTTTAACATGTGTTATCATTAGCGGTACAAATACTACTAATGTAATAGCAAATTGTGCCAATCCATCTCCATCACGACAATTCAACGCGTTTAATCTTCCTGGACTTGCATTATTCAGCAAACTGCCTTTGGCGCGAAAAAAAATACAGAACCTTATCCCTAATGTGAAACGGCTTGTTCCTAGATGGGTGCTTTCGGCTGAGGTATTTTACTTTTTATACCTGTCTTGCTTAATATAATTACAAATTGTAGATTAAATGATGAGATTTAATACAGTTTGTACATTTTTTCTTTCAGTATGTTTGTAATAATTCGAAACAAACTTCAATAGAACTTCAATAGAACTTATTAAGTCTATTATGAATATCTTGTCATAAAAATTCATCACAGACATTTGAACAATATTTCATTATCCTCTATTTTAGAATACCGGTAAATATATTCTACAAAAATATGATGTTCTAGTTTTACTCATTTTAGTTGCTAGTTATCATTCAAAACATATTTATTTTCAGGTTGAAAAAGTAGGCACAGTTGGTTGTACTCATTTTACAGCACTACTTCCGTTTTCCTACGTTGACCGTAAGTTATGTTTCCCAAACACAAAAGCTGTTGCATTTGGCGTATTTTATTTTTAAATGTAGTTCATGCCAAATTAAAGACATCAAGGGTGTTGAAGCGCTTCAAAACTATACATATTTTTTTGTGTTTTCCATTAGATACCAACCAAACAAAACATCCCGAAGGATAGAAATTGGTATATATGCACAGCCAATCGCTAATCAAATGAAAATGGCTTTAAAACAAATATGTCTGGACAAGGTCTTTTTCATCATCCAACGTTCACTACATAAATAGTTTTGCTGTCTTGCATTTTTGTAAGATCAAGTAATGATCACAACATAACTCTAATTTAAATATATTTAAGGAAGGCAGCATTTTAAAAACCTGGCTTTCAATTACATGTATGGTATACCAATTTTACTGCATCAGATGTGTATTTCGACAAAAATTGTCTCTTAAATATTCTTAATTTATTCAGTAACCATTCTAGCAGGTCTAGTTCTCTCTTATTTTCAAATAGCTATGTTGCCACCTCTGTTTTCAAGCTTTGATGAGGAAAATTTGAACAATACTTTACAATTATTGAACTATTTCAAATTGGAAAAGCAATATATATTGATGGGCGATTTCAATCAGTCACCACTTCGGGCAACTTTAACACCTACATTTTCAGGTTAGTTTATTAGTCCTTCACAATATTATATTTCGGGCATCTTGAATTGCATAACATACCTGTATATCCAAAAAACAAAACAAAACAAAAAACAAAAAACAAAACAAAACAAAACACAAAACACAAAACAAAACAAAACAAAACAAAGCAAAACAAAACAAAACAAAACAAAACAAAACAAAACAAAACAAACGGAAAAAGCTAATTAAAACAATAACTTTTTTCTCCACTGCCACCCGCCCACTGCCCCTCCCCCCCCCCCCCAAAAAAAAAATCCTATTTGGTGCAATTTATTTAGATGGCAATGATAAAGTTAAGAAGAAGAAAACTTGTAAAATGCTTTCAGTTCAGTACTTTATGTTTACGAATCAATATAGCAGTGAATATGATATAAAAATAAGGTACCGTAACTAGATAACAGACGAAACAATTCCTTGACTGAAAGAAACAAAATAGAAAGATCGAGATAAAACTTTTAACAAATCATAACACAGAAAGCGTCTAAAGATTAAAAATTTCACACAGAATCTGTGCAAGAAGATCGATAATATATATGATATTTTTGACAAACATACAATACATTTGTAATGGGTGCTTAAACATTTTTTTGAGGTCAGAGTTGTCTTTCTTTTACCCAAAAGAACAAAAGATTACGATAGAAACATTCCATTATTTTTTTTTCTTATTGATAACAACAACACATAAACTAGCTATTAAATCAACCCTTGGTGTCCTATGTAGAGTCAGAGAAATTGCAGTGCAATACAAACTTTCCAAAGATAGTAATTTTCGAATTATGTTTGCTTTAAGCCGCCTCAACTCAAAATGCTAAATTAAGTATTAAATGTCTATAGTTAATTAATTACAAATTAACCATATCTTTATCTTTGTTAGTTTTAAACCAAATTATGGTTGAAACTAATTTTCAGTACATAAAATTGCCCATTTTCCTCTAAATCTCAGAAATCATATTATAATAAGATTGAAAATAAATCAATCGTGTTCCAAAAAATGATGCCAAATGGCCATGAACAAACTTTTATACATGTAAAAGTTGTCATAAGAATTTATATCTCATTTAAAGACTGTGAGCTAGCAAATCCATAGGCTATAAGATTTCTAAATCGTTTCAGATATTGGTCATGGAATGTTTTCAATTACTTTAATTTGTGTTATTACTTTTTGTAGACAACTACAAAGTCTTTAAAGCAAACGGATTGTCTGACCCTTACGTTGACAATATCGGCCTGCCAACTTTTGGACGTGGTAATTTTTTATCCATTTTCCAAGACAGGAATCTGATTCTGGACCATATATTTCAGAAAGGTTTCGATTACATATCATCTGAGGTAACTATACTTGTTCTGATTGCATGGTTAATTAAGCGTTGTTTTTAGTATTGTCAGGCAATGAGTTGTTTAACTGAAAAATTATTTAAAATGAATTTTTCATAAAAAACTAAATAACTATACAGTGGTTGTCGATGAACGGTAAGAAAGGCCGGTTTTTAAACGTTTTAGTGTTTAGGTAATTTATAGTTAAAGAGCATACATGTACTGATTCAATGAGATTCATATACAATACTAATATTTCTGAAATCCAGATCACGCAACAACAACAATAACAAAATAAGAATGGGGAACAAACCAAACAAATAGAAATCAGACCAAACTAATCCAATTAATGAACTTACTGAAATTGAAAAAAAGGAAACATAGTTTAAACCCGCTGCATGTTTATGCACCTGTCCTAAGTCAGGAGCATGATGTTCAGTGGTTGTCGTTTGTTGGTGTGGTTCATAGGTGTTTCTCGAATTATATAGATTAGACCGTAGGTTTTCCTGTTTGAATTATTTTACACTAGTTATTTATAGGCCCTTTATAGCTTGCTTTTCGGTGTGAGCCAAGGCTCCGTGTTAAAGGCCGTACTTTGGCCTATAATTGTTAACTTTTTATACATTGTGACTTGGATGGAGAGTTGTCTCATTGGCACTCATGCCACATCTTCTTATTTATATTAGGGCCAATATTTACAGCTGATATGCTTTTGATCTTTTCAGAGAGTATTTGACAAATTCATAGATGTGAATGGGCAGAGTGTTCCTTTATCTGATCATTTTGGAGTAGCTGTTACATTGCAGCCGAAAACCTGTTCAACATTACCATAATATAAGATGGAAACGTATTTCAGAAACACATTTTTTACAAGTGGATAGGAGGCGATTAATATCACGTAATTAAATCTTTTTTTTCGCGATATTTTTGTAGATAAAAGCAATAAATCAGATTATTGTGTCTCTAATGAGTTTACTTTATAAGTGTTGGTCTTGCATGAATATAGTAGGTGTATGGTAAACGTCAATAAGACAGTAATCTAACGACAAAAGAATAGACAAAACACACACTCACACAAACTCCAAGACATATAAATGTTATTATAAGGTCTTCTGACATCACTAAATGTTTATATAAGACCGATTATTTCAAACGCGTTCGAGTCTAGAAATGTCAATAAGGTTTATTCGATGTTTTTAAGAACTAGAGGCTCTAAAGAGCCTGTGTCGCTAACCTTGGTCTATGTGCATATTCAACATTGTAGACGAGAATAGAATGCATGACAAAAATCTTTGTTTTGTCGATCTTGTATTGCTGATCATTAGTGTGTTTAGTTTCTCTCTTTCTTTTTTAGTTTTTGCTAAAAACACAAAAAAGGGCTAAAAAAACCTCATTTAACGGCAATCACTTCAAAAAAGAGTGGCAGTCTACTAACTATATTCATTGGTAAAATTCGACTTGTTTATAGTAGATCTTGCCTTGCTGATAAGTTTTGCGATTTAAAGTGTCTATTAATCTATTATAATTTGCATATATATATATATACTGAAGACCCAAAAGAAATAGTAAAAATCGTCATTAAAGGGCAATAACTCCAATAAGAAATCGTCGGATGATTTCTCCCTATTATCTTAATTGTAGATCTTGTCTTGCTAATCCTTTTTGCTTATTTAAGTTTTTATCTATCTATTATAATATTTAAGATATAAGGATAAAACGCAAAAGATTGGTAAAAAATTGTCATCAAAGGGAACTAACTCTTATAAGGAGTCAACTGACGATTTCGACCATAAGACTTAATTGTAGACCTTGTCTTGCTAATTATTTTTGCAGTTTAAAGTTTCTCTCTATCTATTATAGTTTTTAAAATAATAGACAAAAATGAAAAAAAGGTAAAATTTGTTATTTAAGGGCAATAACTCCTATAAGAAGTCGTCTGACAAAACTTGCATTTAACCCCTGTGTTCAATTTTTAGCCATGTCGGCAATCTTAGTTGTAAACTTGATACCCCAATGATGATTGTGGCCAAGTTTGGTTAAATGCTGTTTGGGACAGTTCTCTGAGACATGAAGACAATGTGGATAAAGCTTAAGCCTTAACAGGAAAAAAAAATACGATACATCGAACGACAATCACTATCGATGTTCAGGTGTCTCATGCGACAAGAAATACTGATCAAAATACCATTGCGCTGTCACCAGAATCCAATGTAATACAGATTGTTGTTTTAAAAAGGTGGAATGATAACAAAACAAGTATGCTAGGAGTCGTCATGATGAGTTTCAATGTTACGGCAGCAAGGTTTCTTGTTGTTTATAGCAACCTTGTCCGCATGTTAAAATGCACCTAAAACATTACAATATTTAAAAACAGAATCGGATTTCAGTATAGATAATAATAAGTAAATGTGATATGAATGCCAACGTCACTACTCTCCTTAAAGACCAAAAGTCAAAGACGTGAAAACTACCAATAATTTCTAATACCTATATCAAACCAATTGCAATTAAAATTTTCAATTACAAACACGTTTTTCAGGATCTCAACATTGACGACTTCAAGTCTAAACCTCCTGATTGCACCTGTGCTAGTTCCCAATTCACATATAATCCGGCTGGCCACGTTATTACCGGAGACCTTAACATTGTCAATAACACTTCCTTGCGAAATTTGTTATACAAAGGTCCGAAATATCGTGAGCCTAAATCCATCAATTGGAAATACAACTTCAAAATACTGATGGATTCAGTCGAGGATTATGCCAGGCAATGGGCTAAACGCGAGAAAGAAGACGTAGATACTCTTTCCGAATGGATCAAGGCTGTGAGGTCGTTGATACAAATCCGAATTAAGAAACTAAATGGGCATATCAATACCCACGCTACGTCAATTTTCAAAGACCCAAATGTTGCAAGACACTTGTCCTACATCCATGACAAATATGTTGTTGTCACCACAGATAAAGCCCCAAACAACATCGTTTTTGTGTGTAAATATCATTACATAGACTGCTTGATAAATGAATTAGGTATTGACAATTCACTTGGAAACTCAACATATACCCTCACGACACTTACCAAAGAGGAAATCCTGAATAATCATAGGTCTGTTCTATGTTCCTTTGGAATTTCAACCAAAGATGAAGAACTGGATCTTCCATCACTGTATTGGATACCTAAACTACATTAGTGTCCTTACAAACAACGGTATATTGCTGGGTCTTCCAAGTGCTCCATGAAACCTCTTTCTAAATTATTAACATCTATTTTATCAGCAATCAAAGCCGGGCTCCAAAGTTATTGTGAAACTGCCTATTCTAGAGGTGGCGTGAATCAGATGTGGATACTAAAAAATTCCAAAGATCTTTTAGAGTACATACAATCTAAGACTCTCTCATCTTGCAATAGTATTAAAACATTTGACTTTTCTACACTTTACACAAGTATTCCCTATTCCAAACTAAAAGACAAATTGAAAGAGTTGGTATTACTTTGTTTCATTAAAAAGAATGGCGAACGTAGAAACAAGTATCTTGTCTTTGGGAAGGATAAATCCTACTTTGTAAAGAATAACTCTGATTCAAACAAAAAATTCTCTGAAACTGACATTATCAAGATGCTTGATTTCTTGATTGACAACATATTTGTTACGTTTGGAGGACGTGTTTTTCAACAGACTGTCGGAATTCCAATGGGAACCAATTGTGCCCCTCTTCTTGCCGACTTGTTTCTGTATTATTATGAGGCTGACTTCATACAGGAACTTCTAAATCAGAAAGATAAGAAGTTAGCAATATCCTTTAACTCTACGTTCCGCTATATAGATGATGTTCTCTCACTAAATAATACAAAATTTGGTGACTATGTTGAACAAATCTATCCCATCGAACTAGAGATAAAGGATACTACAGATCGAGTTAAGTCTGCCTCATATCTTGACTTACATCTAGAAATTGACAATGAGGGTCGGTTGAAAACAAAACTTTACGACAAAAGAGATGATTTCAGCTTCCCAATTGTGAACTTTCCATTTCTCTGTAGCAACATTCCAGCAGCGCCTGCATACGAAGTATATATCTCCCAATTGATACGATTTTCCCGGGCTTCTGTTTCCTATCATGATTTCCTTGATAGAGGATTGCTGCTCACAATGAAGCTATTAAACCAAGAGTTCCAAATGGTGAAGTTGAAGTCATCCCTTCGTAAATTTTACGGACGCCATCACGAGTTGGTTGACCGTTATGGAATAACCGTTTCACGGATGATATCGGATATGTTCCTTATGTCGCAACTACAATACCCTCCCATTTCACGAATGTGACTTACCGAAGTAGACTATTTACCGGATTTGTAATAACATAAGTAACACGACGGGTGCCACATGTGGAGCAGGATCTGCTTACCCTTCCGGAGCACCTGAGATCACCCCCAGTTTTTGGTGGGGTTCGTATTGCTTAGTCTTTGGTTTTCTATGTTGTGTCATCTGTACTATTATTTGTCTGTGTGTCTTTTTATTTTTGGCCATGGCGTTGTCAGTTTGTTTTCGATCTATGAGTTTGACTGTCCCTCTGGTATCTTTCGTCCCTCTTTTATAGGTCATTATATTGCCTTCGACTTGTATATGTAATATGTCTGGTAGAGAACTGTATGAACATACATACATTACATGTATTTAGTACATGGTTGCATAAATTGTGTCAATTTTTATACAATGATTTATTATGGAGGATTTTGTTTGAACAAAGGATTTACTACAAACAATGAAAATTGGGAGTTTGTAAAAAGATATAAGAAAATGTGGTATGAGTGCCAATGTGACAACTCTCCATCCAAGTCACAATTTGTAAAAGTAAACCATTATAGGTCAAAGTACGGCCTTCAGCACGGAGCTTTGGCTCACTCCGAACAGCAAGCTATAAAGGGCCCCAAAATTGACTAGTGTAAAACCATTCAAACAGGAATACCAACGGTCTAATCATTATGAAAAACGAGAAACGAGAAACACTTATGAACCACATCAACAAACGACAACCACTCAACATCAGGTTCCTGACTTAGGAAGTCTATGTATTTACGACACACTATAATCACCTTTTAGCTAGAGGCTTTTTTTTTGTGTGCCTTGCTTGACATTCTGTATTACATACATGTCTTTTGGGTTTTTTTGTGTCGTTAAGTCTTTGTCGCTTTGATATACACATATCTTTTGGGTCAAATAAGATAGTTATATAATTCCCAAGCCATCAATTCAAAACTATGTTCTAGTGGACACACAGTCGTCGTTAGGATA